ATGGAAAGGTCCTCCACATAAAAATACTCAACAAAGTACTTGGTCCATAGCTTCATATACAATAAGATATATTATTTTTATTATCAAGATTGGCCACTACCCTATATAAGTCTGAGGGATGCCACTCATATTGTGACTTATGGGAATGGTAGCCCTCGAGTTGTGCAGTGTACAACCTGTGTGACTGCATAAAACATCCCTGATGATCACGCTATTGTGGGTACGCAGACCTTGTGTTCCTCCACAGCGGACACCTGGATTATTTCTCAAAATGAGGAGGTTGCTGTTTACTATATGCCCAGCATGAAACACATCTTGCCAACAAACAAGTGGGTTTTAATAATTCACAGGAGGGAAGCAAAAGAGAAAAATGCACACTCAAAAAGCAAACAAGCCCTCTGAAGTGCTTGCCAAGGACTGCTAAGAAGAGAACTTCCCGTATTGGGGTAGGAGGCGTCCAGCACATCCCATCCAGTGGGGCTCGGCTCTGAGGCTGGGCCTTGGCATCCTCACCGACACAAGCTCAAGGTGTCACTCGTGGAGGGCAAGAAAGTCAAGACACATGTCTGTGCAAGGTAGGTATCAGGAAAGATGGTAGCAGAGGGAGTGAGTGGGCGTGGAGGTAGGAGGAAGACAGGAGGGTGAGTGCTGTGACTGAGGGGGGTCTGAAGGCTGCTGTTCTACCCAACAGGCCGTTTAGCAAGGATACCTCGGATCGTGCGAGTAGGGACAATGAATACTTAAGCAAGGGCTTTGCTTATGTATTTCCTTAAGCAAGGGCTTTGCTTATGCCTAATCCCAGGCATACACAGGAACTGCCCACAGGCAGTCAGGACTTGGGATCCAGCCGCCGCTCTGGACACTCACTCTAAGTCTAGTTGCTGTGAGGACATTCTAAAAAGGCCCCCAGCATGCTCTGCATAGGAGGAACCCCAAGGGTTTTTGATGGGTCTTGTCCCTCCTCCTGCTGCCCTGAGCCTCACTTGGCCAATTCGGTGTCAAGTGAGGGTGCCCCCTAGTGCTCTACCCTCTCTTACCACCCAGGTTCCCCCTTCTCAAACTTTGCACTTCGGGTTCAGCAGGTGAGAAAGCCTGGTTGCAGAAGGGTAACTATTAGAATCCGCTTTACTCACAGCCGGAAGATGCTTTTGTCTTTGTGAGAATGGTTAACCTCTCCCTTTTAAGTATGGCCACAGGTCAGGCCATCTCCGTAGGTGTTCTGCTCTGACATGGAGCTTGCTAGCAATATGTGAGGAAGGGTTTTAAAAGATCCATCTGCATAGGGCATGCAAAGATGTACACTTCTAGGCCTATCTTGTAAGATCAGAGAAGGGACTTCCTTAGTGTATATTTGGCAAGATTTCTACTCTTTGGAATTCGGAAGGAATTGTAAATGGAGCTTGCATTTCCCTGATTGGCTCTAGCATTTTCAAAAGTTGGCTAGAGCTTGAGCAGTCAGCTTAGATTCATTTCGGAACACTCTCTTAACTTTCTGTTCCTTGGAAGAGTTACACAGAGTGGAGTCTGGCACAAGATGAAGAGTGAGAGGGAGAGGGAGGAAGCCGGCAGTGGTGGGTCTGAAACAAGACTACAAAAAGAATCAAGAGGTAACACTGAAAGAGACAGAGATCCGGGGGCCTTTTCTTCCTTCCATATCAGATATTATCAATCCCCAAGCCACTCTGCCATCTCTAAACTTCTCAGAACAACTCTGCATCATTATTATTATCCCCATTCTACAGGTGGCAAACCCAAGGATCGGAAAAATCAAGAATCCTTGTTCTAAAGTCACATGGCTAAAAAGTCATAGTCCGGGGATGTGAACCAGGTCTGCAGAATTCCACAGCCTCTGCGGCTCCCAATAACTTGTGTGGCCCAGTGTAATTAATTTGAAATTTAACTACTTTAGCCATTCCTCCCCACCATCGTCTGGAGGAAGTAAAAACAGAGAGAGAAAACAAGCAAAAAACATGAGTAGACAGAGGGAGCAAAAGTCCTAAAGAAAAGAGATGACTGCAAACACCGGATCCAATCCATCAGGAGGGTGAAGGAGAGGGAAGGACGGGGCTGGAAGGCTGATCCCCACATGGGTTAGCAATGCGGTTGTAAGAACACAATCCCATTCAAAATTGCATCAAAAAACACAAAACACCTATGGATAAATTTAACCAAGGAGGTGTAAGATCTATACATTGAAAGCTCTAGGACCCTGATAAAAGAAATTGAAAATGACACAAATAAATGAAAAGATATTCTGTGCTCATGGGCTGGAATAATTAGTATTGTGAAAATGTCCCCATTACCCAAAGCAATCTACAGATTTAATGCAATCCTTACCAAAATTCCAAAGGCATTTTTCACAGAAATAAAAGAAACAATCCTAAAATTCATATGGAACCACAAAAGACCCAGAATAGCTAAAGCAATCTTGAGAAAGAAGAACAAAGCTCAGGCATCACACTCCCTGATTTCACACTATGTTATAAAATTGTAGTGATTAAAACAGAATGGTATTGGCATAAAAAAGGACACATAGATCAATGAAACAGAATAGAGAGTCCAGAAATCAAGTCACACAGATATGGTTAATTCATTTATGATGAAGAAGCCAAGAATACACAATGGGGAAAAGCCAGTCTCTTCCATAAATGGTATTGGGGAAAATGGACAGTCACACGCAAAAGAATAAAACTGGACTCCTACCTTACACCATACACAGAAATGAACTCACAGTGGATTAAAGACTTGAACCAGAAAGATCTGAAAACATAAAGCTGCTGGAAGGAAACGTAGGAGGTTAGATCCCTGACATTAGTCTTAGCTATAATTGTTCTGAATGTGACACCAAGTGCAAAGGCATCAAGGGTAAAAATAAACAAGTGGGACTACATCAAGCTAAAAATGGGCAAAGTACTGACCAGACATTTCTCAAAACAAGACATACAAGTGGCCAACAGATATATGAAAAGGTGCTCACCATTGCAAATCATCAGGGAAACGCACATCAAAACCACAATGAGATACCGTCTCACACCTGCTAGAACGGCTAATAGCAAAAGACAGCAAGTGTTGGCGAGGGTCTGGAGAAAAGGGAACCCCTGCGCACTGTGGGTGGGAATGTAAATTAGTGCATTCTCTATGGACAACAGTATGGAGGTTCCTCAAAAAATTAAAAACAGAGGACACCTAGGTGGCTCAGTCGGTTAAGGCTCTGCCTTCAGCTCATGTCATGAACTCACGGTCCTGGGATCGAGCCCCACGTTGGGCTCTCTGCTCAGCAGTGAGTCTGCTTTTCCCTCTCCCTCTGTGCTTTCTCTCTCTTTCTCAAATAAATAAATAAATAAAATCTTAAAATAATTAAAAACAGAACCAACATATGATCTTGCAATTCCACTTCTGGGTGTTTCTCTGGAGGAAATAAAATCACTAACTTGAAAAGATATCTGCTCCTGCCATACCCATGTTCACTGCAGTATTATTTACAATAGCCCAGACATGGAAGTGACTTAAGTGTCCATCGATGGGTGCATGAATTAAAAAAAAATGTATGTATATATAATACACACACACACACATACACACACGCACAGTTGCCAGAAGTGATGGGTAGGGGCTAGGTGATTGGGTGAAGGGGGTCAAAAGGTATAAACTTCCAGCTATAAAAGAAATAAGTCCTGGGGATCTAGCAGAGTGACTATAATTAACAATACTGTACCATATATTTAAAAGTTGCCAAGAGAGTAGATCTTAAAAGTTCTCACCAGAAAAAAAAATCTGTAACTATCTGAGGTGATAGATGTTAACTATAACAGTTATTATTAATAATAACTTATCATGGTAATTATTTTATAATAGATACATATATCAAATCATCATGTTTTCACCTAAAGTAAATACAATATTATATGCCAATTATATCTTCATACACCTGGAAAAAAAATAAAGTGGTATTGCTAGGAGCACTTACGTACATTTTTTAAAAAATGCAGTGGTAGTATCTTGGAATGGTTTGCATTTAGGATCAAGTCTTGCTCCTTCTACTTGCTGGGCATGTGAGATTGGGACAAGCGACATTGGTTCTCAGAACTCAGTTTCCTTGACTGCAAAATGGGATGATAATAATGACACCCACTTTGTCTAGTGCTTCAAAAGATTAAGCGAGGGGATGAACATAAAGCGCTGAGCGCTGAGCCAGCCACTGTTTCTCCCTGTTCTAAAAACCATTCCTGGTGGGAAATTCCTGTCTTATTATTCATATCTCTAAACCATTGACAGCATGTACTTTTTATTTCATTCCAATGTCAGTGGATGCAGTTTTGCTTTCTTATACTCTTTCCCCTCTTTCTACAATGTATTCTCTTCTGGAACCAGAGGTTCTCTCCTCCTAAAGTCTCTAGCCAGACTTTTCTCCAGGGACACACAGTGTTTTCTTTAACTAAACATTAACTTGGAGAGGGAGAAAAACAGGTCTATCTATTTCTGCATTAACTGAGCTGTTTTTCAGATTCCATCATTTTTTTTTTAAATGTTGGAAATGCTTCACTAATTAATCAGAGCTTCACAAGAGGGCCTGTCTTTGACTTGACAGCCAAAGTCACGAAAGGAGACACACGCAGAGCAGGTCCTACCTGGAGTATGCCTGGTGGCTGTTGGAACTAATACAGAATGACCAAGTTGGGATAGACGTATCGAAAATACGTCCTCTATCTCCCCCTCCTTTTGTGCAAGATAGCTGTATGCATTTGGCCCAAGGCCTGATACAGTTTTTCTGGAGGCAGCCCGACTTGGAACATTCAAGAACACAGACGTAGGAACTGCATAAAAAGGAGGAGCTCTCCCACCCTGGTCGGAGCAAACTGCTCGCCGTCTTGACAGCAAACCTTCTGGGAAAGAGCCAGCCTTGTCACCGTGCTTGAAGTCATTTCAGGGTAACGGATGTGATGACTGCAAGGGGGTTAAGCGAAATGCCTGGCAGGTGCCCACTTCATGGCTCTACTTACTTCTTCCCATTCCTCGGCCCTCCACACATAGAGAGGACACGGCGGGGCTTGGCAGACACGCTCCGACTCCGGTCTGGTGTACGGGTTGCACTCGGACTCTCTGGCTATTCTGTGTGCTCCCATCTGACAGCCCACACTTCGCCGCCGTGTGCCTTGGCCGCAGGACACAGAGCACTAAGAAGAAAGACCGTGTAAGTGGGAGCTTTGGGTCATTTGGTGGGGAGGGTGTGTGTGCGTGTGTGTGTGTGTGTGTGTGTGTGTGTGTGTGTGTGTGTGTCAGGGGTGGAGAGGGTCACAGGCATGGGGAATGCACTCCTAATCCAGTGACTTTCACCACTATTACACAGCTTTCTAATTTCCAATGAAAGGGACCCAAGATAATGTCTGAAATCTGCAAACTTAACTGCCTTTCAAGGCTGGTGAGCGGGACACGTATTTGAGTCTTAGGGAATCTAATGTTACCCAAACTCTTGGAGATGGAATGAGGCTGGGAGAGATCATTATGAAACATTTAATACAACCTCAAAATAAATAGTGCTGCCATGTGAAATAAAAACCCCACATGATTTCTATCCCAGAGGACTGGAAGTTCTTGAAATTTGGAGACACAGTGCTATTGTACAAGAAGAATTTCTTGGCAGATTAAAAGTATAACCCAAGGAGAGCAAATCATGAAAGCTTTTAGGGCCTTATAAGTAGAATTCTTTTCTCCATCACTTCCTTTCCTTGCTCCTATTCCTGGAGACAGAGGAAAAAATTTTTTTTAAACTACTGAATTCACAGAAGTATTAGAACCTACTTACAACCTCAGATGAATATATGGAGAATAAAAGCTGACAAGGAAAAACCATTTCCTCAGGCGGGCGTCATGTTTCCAGCCCTTGAAAAATACTGTTAATCAGGCTGAAACATTTTGTTGACCAAGTTGCAAAACACCATATTAAGTCTGTAATGAACTTTCCTTTAAATTAATTTTTTAATGGTTTCCTCATTGCTGGGTTTCATAATCTCACTTATGGGCAGGCCAAGAATTATTGTCATTATTAAGGTTTTGACAGTTAGAAACTATAGGCAACATTTGCTTGGAAAGAACAGCATATTATTACATTGAGCCATTTAAAATTATTACCAAGTTTTTGCAATAGCTCAGCCTCTATTACTTTGGTGTTGAGAAAATAAGTTTAACATACATTACAGCCACCGTATTTCTGAGAGGAAGTCTTAAAGAATAGAATCACGATCTTTTCAATTAGAAAGTATTCTTGACCAATTAACCTGCAGCAGGATTCATCTCACTCTGAGGTTAATGGGAATTTACTAGCGAGAAGCACACCCAGTGGATTCTGCTGAATATTAATTTTATTTTCATTTCAGATTTTAAGAAAAGAGTTGATACTATTTAGAGGGCAACTGGGGAAATCATATCATTTCAGATGAGTCTATGCCAGGCAGGAGCTCGAAGGTTCACATCAAAGCTAGCTGAAGAGAAGGAAATTATTTTGAGGCAACATAGTTACTATTGTTTGGGTTTAATTGTATTAATTGGATTGAATGAGTTTGTGACCCAGAAGAAACCAGACTTTTAAAGTCATTATGTCCTGGGTAGAAAGGGAGGGTTCCTAAAGACAAGTGATGGCCTTGTCTATAGAAAATGACCATCTAATGTTCATGGGAGCTACATGTATAATATTTCCCATTGATTACCCTGGAAATGAATGAACTATAACTTGGGGGAGTCACTACGTGAATGACAGAAATGTTCCAACATCATCATCATTGACAACAAACACTGACAACTAAAAAAACCCTTTGGCTACTTGAATTTGGGAATATATATATATGTATATTCCCATATATATATATTCCCATATATATATATATATGAATGTCTCTGGACACTCCCAGAACAGTGTATCAAAATGGAAATACAAAGAAAGACTAAGAATAATTAGGTAAACAAATTTGATCCTGGCATAGGGCTGATATATATTCAAAATCTCACAATGTTTTAATAACCTAAAGAAAAAGGAACAAACGTTAAAGACTTTCAGAGTGTGTACTATTCAAGCTCTAAGTAAATGAAACCTCTTTTTGATGTTATTGTTACTGAGTAAATTACTTATGGTTCAACGAAGGCAAGGTATTAAGAGCCCTAAGTATCCAACATTAACCAAAAATCACTTCCTCCAGTGTTCAACAATTTCTCAAAAGGCAAATAAAGACACAGGAAGGTTCAGTGATAGAGTATGCCATGGTGGCTTGTGATTTTTGTAATGTCAAAGCCAGCTTGGAAACAAAGAAAGGTTTTGCCATGACTTAAGTGCACATAAGGTCTGAGCTTTGCCTTTCTGAACACCCCATTTACAGTCATCTCTGTTCAAAATGAAGTACACTGCATCAGAGTTAGTTCTCTGAGTTTAACTTTCTTCCTGTGCTGTTGCAAGGGAGGCAACAATTTGCATACAGAGCTGGCCATGCTTGCTTGGCGAATTCTGAGAGACTTGTATGGAAAGCCCATGAATAAAACAGCAACAGAGAGACCTCTGCATGACCTTGGAGGTGGCGAGGGTGGTAGTGTGTGCACATGTGTGTGCTTAATTCTTCTTGTTCTATTCAGTGCATCTTCTAGTTAGTGTGCAGGGGAAAAAGGCTGAGCAGTCTCTATTAATGTGTTTCCCCCTGCTGTCATTCCAGCATGGAATGTGCAGGTTTGAAAGGAGATGTTTTTAGTTCTGAACTCCTGCGCTGGGAGCTGTGTTTCATCTCTCTGTCCTCCCTACTGTGCAATGCTAGCATGCAGAACTCCCCAACTTACTGGGGGACCTCGATGCCTGTTTCCACAGATAAAAAGAATCTCTTTGCAACTTCCGATGTGTGGGGAATCATAATATACACTTGAAAACTGGAAAAGTATCTTACATACTTTTTTTCCCCAGTATTATTGCTGAAATTATGGTGGTGATGTTATTTAGAGGAGGGACTAGCTTGAAAAATAACTATATGAACCAACTTGAATAAATAAGAGTCCCAATCATAATAGCAGCATTTCACTAAGCACTTACTATGTGCCAGACTCTATACTGGGGTTTCTCAACCTAATAGTTCTTTATTGCTTGGAGCTGTTCTATAACCGCTGTAGGAAGTTTAGCAGCTTCCCTGGACTCTACCCATTTAATGCCAGCCGTATCTCCCCTCCTCCACCCACTTGTGACAAACAACACTGTCTCCAGACATTGCCAAATGTCCCAAGAGTATAATATCACCCCTAGTTGAGAGCTGAGCTTCATGCTAAGCATTTGACAGAATGTATCTTTTATACTTGCTGATAAACCTTTTAGAGAGATCCTGCGCAAAGATGGCAAAGAACAGAGATGATCAACTCCAGCAAAAACAAAAACATAAAGCAGTCAAAGTGAATTCTGCCCTAGGCAATGTGCCATGGCTGCCCTGGGTCCGAATTTGCCTTCCAGTTTTAAAATACGGTGCTAATAGGATGCAGTCTTTCATGCTACGTCAGCAAGAGTGTGGGTGAGAGGCCTGTATTCAAACAACTCAACATCAGTGCTTACAGTTCAAATACAAACGAAATAATGGAGAGCACAAAGCCCTCAAGTGACTCTCTTCCTCACTACTGACTATGTGCATATGGTTTCCTTGATTTCTCATAGGACACAAGCTACACATTTGCCATGTTTCTGCATTAAACACTAGCAGAATACTTCAGAAACAGACACCACAACCAAGCTGTAACTATAAGAAAAGTTCTAACCAAAAATGGCTGATGGATTCATCGTGCAATTTGCCAGCTTCCCTTTTGGCATTAGCAGTGAAGAGCTTTTAAAACTTGATTAGTTCCCTCAATTGAAGACACCACTGATGGCAAGACAAGGCATTACATTTTGTATCACTAAGGAAAAAAGGGCTATTTTAATTAAGTCATGGCATTCCATTGGTTGTTAGACCCATTCTCAGCACAGAGGGGTTCAAGTGTGAAAAAGACATGCATCTCAGGACTGAGAAATGAATCGACTGAGTGAATTCATGATTGACAAGCGATGATGAAGTGTTACTTTTATTCTAATCTGATCATTTATTCTTTTTATTTCTGGCCTTCATTTAAAAAAAACCTTTCTATAGGTATGGATTAAACAATTTTTACTCTGAAATGGTTCTGTATCATGGGACTACAGAGTCTTCACATGTATCAAACTGAATCAAGAATTTGCTGCCGATCTTTGACTTAAAATTTCATGGGTATCCCTTATCTCTTGATCAAAAGCATCGAAACAAATTGAATATGAACTTCTAAAAAATGTTTTAAAATTTTAATGAGGATGTTTTCCAATATAAGCTTTCCTTTTATTGGAAAAATTTCCTTGACAAATTCAAGATTTTCAAAAGATGTAGAAATGAAACATCCCACTTTAAATCTCAAAGCACCAATTTTGAGGGCAAGACTATGAAGATCAACACAGCCCGATATTTTATACGTCCTATTATCTTCAGACATTTCAACATGATGAGAAATGGTGCTAATTCTTCTTCCTACCGTGAACAGGAGATGACTAGAATATAGTACCAGCAGAAAACAGAAGGACCAGATAGATACAAAATCTTCTAAACATTGTTGCAAATGGATAATCATTACTCTTGCTTCAATATCACTGCCTTAGGGATATTTCTGTTTACCAATGGATCATTAGTAAGCCAATAATCTTTAACCATGCAGACCGTCTTTCTCCATTAACCACTGCATCTGATTGTTTTCAGGCATACTTCTAAATTGCATAAATTAGATTTTGCCCATGCAGCACCTTGCCTTGCCTGCTTTTATAATTCATTTCTACAAATCAAATCAGGGCATTACAAAGCTAGCCACAGACCATTACATAACTGTGTTTACTTGCATTTTCTACAAAGTTGACTAGACTGTTTTAAGCAATCATTTTGAACAGGTGCAGTCTTTTCTAGGGAGGCATTCTGATAATCCTATTACCTTATGTTCAAAACCCCACCCCAGGGTTCAAACCTAATCATCCCAGATTTGTAAGCAATTTTAGACTTCCTAACCAGATCACAGAATACTGGACTAAAACTCACCCTGTGTTTACCAATAAAGAGTGAAAGATTCTTTTAATCATCTCTATATTGAATAAATTGGCCTATAAAAGGAGCATCATTTCCATGCTCCAAACTTAATATTCAGCGCATGATGCAAATAGATAAGTAGAGGCCAAGGAACATAAAGAAAAGCAATAGAGCATGAAAGTCTACAAGAGGACAAGCTAATTAGTGCAGTATCTTCAATAATGTTAGCTGCGGGCTTATACATGAATTGAATAGCTCCCCAAATAAAAGGGCTGGAAGTTACAGATGACAGCCGTCACTTAGACAAACCATTAAGGATGACCAATATGAAACACTGCCTTGAAATCTGATCCCTTAGGGAAGCCAGAGGAGTTACTCGCTCTGGTTGGGCACCGAAGCTTTGATTGTTGAATTAAAACAGAAACAAAAACACACATGATCATTATGAGAGAGGCCTTGCGAAGGACGAGGCTACTCTGCTAGGGAATGATGCAGGTCATGTCTTACGTTTCTGTTAAGTGGCGTATGGCTGGGGGGAGCATGTGGGACAATGATGCCAGCTCAGAGCATTTGAGAAAAATTCACATTTCTAGAGGAATTTTCCATTAGTCATGTCGAAATGGAGAATTCCCAACTCCTCCCCATGTTAACACAGCCATCCAAAGCTTCTCTGAGGCTCCAGGCAATCAAGATCCAGGCTCTGAAAGAACGAAATCTAGAGCTTGCCAACCTGGAACTTACTTTCCTATTGATTCTTAGGAGCATCTGTATGATTCTCGGCTGCACAGGAGAACCACAAATTCAGTGAAAGCTCAAAGAGGCCAAAATCAAGAGGGGAAGAGCAGCATTAAATACAGAATATACGGAACTGTACCTTATTATTTTTAAGCAAGCACCTTCAACCAAGCTGAGAGAATGTACAAGTATAGAGTGAAGATATCAGCTTCAAGGCTTACGTGTGAGAGACTTTGGTTCACACATCAATTGTTCATAGGTAAACAGAAGCTTCTGAAAGTTCCTTGTTGAATACAACAGGGAAACTCTCTTACCCAGCTCCTGTCTAGATTACCAAAATGTTTAGAGTTAGTGGAGTCTGACTGTAATTGGTTTCTTGGGAACTTACCCCCCCTTCCCCGTCCGGTAGACACATCACATTCATCCAAACAAAATATTTCTCTTGAGAACCTCTTAGATTTAAGACCTCTGAACTAAGGACTCGGCATTCATTATTGCATCAAATCCTCAGAAGAGCTATATGAAGTAGGCTCGGGAAGGTTAAACAGATCACCCAAGGTCGCCTGGCTAGAGAATGAGAGCACTTCTCCTTTTGTCTCCCACCTCTGTTGTCCAGAAGCAAATGAGCAGAGACATATTCACTAATACTTCATACTGATAGCCCTTTCTTTAAGCATCTCAACTCAGACCCAATTCCCGCCAGGTGGTCAGAGTCAAGCTTACCGCAGTCTGAGTTAGTGGTTGTTTAAGTGATGGAGGATATTAAAAAATGCCATCAGCGAGGTACTGAAGGGCCACTCTGTGCTTGATGTCTTACACCTACATCCACTACCACTTAGAATTCATCCTCACAACCATCCTACTGTAGGCATTGTGCACGGCACCAAGGGCTGAATCCACTGGCCCAAGGTCTCCCCGCTAACAAGTATGCTGACATAGTGTTCCCTTCCCCAAGCTCCCCTCTGCAAAACCAAAACTGTGCAGAGAAACACAACCGACCCCCTGGTGTCGGCCATGTGGCGGAAGGTAAGAAGGAAGCAGTCATAAGGAGAAGCATTGCTCACCTGACTCCAGGCGCCAGCCTTCCATTTGGGGCATCTTCCTCCTCTGCACTTTCTGTGCCCATTTGGCTTAGCAAGGTGTTTACAGTAATCACTTTCTAAATGGCTTCCATCCTTTGCCATGCAGTAAACATTTCGTTGTTTATGCCCTCGACCACAAGAGACAGAACACTGAAATATAAAGCAATGGCAAGGTTGTTGTTGTTGTGTGTGTTTTGTTTTTTTTTTAATCACATGGACTTTGATAAAAACCTGAGTCGTGAGATGTTAAGATCGTATCTAACACAAGTCACCATCCCCCCTTTACCAGAGCCATTTTTAGGTCATATCTCAAGGTTCCGCATGGCAAGAAGGTAGCATTGGGGGGGGGGGGGAACCGTCTGTAGCATTATAGCAGCAATCCTGGATAGTATTTTGGGTCCCTCAAGAGTGTGGGCAAATCCTGACACTTTAGGCCAAAAATAAAGCCAATGAACGAGAAATTACCACAAAATTCTGATTTTAAGTCCTACTACGAATTCGTAAGGATTCCTGTTGCACATCTCACTTTATGCAATCTCTGATCAAGATATTTCTTTAACAAAATGCCTTGTTATTCACTGATTTGGATAAAGGTGCATTTCCAAAATACAACTGTGTCCCATTTCCTAATTAAATGATTTAAAGGAACTCTTCTACCATTTTTCAGAGGATAAACTCCATTTTTCCCAGTCGGTTGGGAAGGAGGTAAAAAAGCCACATTAGAAACTGAAAGGTAAGCTAGCAGGTAAGTCTGTGCCAATTTGGGGAGGGAGGCATTACCTTTCAACTCTGATCTGCAAGTTCACTGAACTGTTTTAAATGTGACCTTGTCTGACCACATCTAAGAAACTTGACTTTGATTTCAGATTAGGTTTCTCAGAAAGGTTTAGGAATCAAAGTGCCCATGGAGTCAGGACAAAAATCTGATATGACAGCTTCTTGTGGAACAGGCAAGAGGCTGGCCCCAGTGAGTGCACCGAGATACTCAACGTCCATTTGCCTCATTAGCGATTACAGAAGTCATTACCACTCGGATCATAAGCTTGCTGGCTCAGGTTTTCAAGACACATTATTTCCCAATATAACGTTCTTGACTTTTAGAGGGAAATGAGTTTCAGAATGAAGAACAAAATGTGAAAATGCAATGAAAACAGATTTCAAGTGTCATTTCCTTCTATTCAATATTTCTTATTTCCCTCACTAACTCTGTGATTTTGTTAAATAATTACCAAAGTGCCCTTTTATGCCCCATAGATAAATAGCACCCCGTAAAACACAGAGCCAAATATTAATCCAACTGCTGTTACCAAGCATGTTCAAAGTTCTATCGTTCATAAATGTGCCAGACATCTTTCTCTAATAAGCACAAATCATTACAAACATTTCAATAGTAGCTAGTAAATGATTTTGCAATATGTCTATTAATAAGTTTGGCTGTGACTTTTTACTTCAGGAAATGGAAACATTGCCAGTTGCATTTGAGCTCCATTTTATGAGAGTATTATGATTTGGAGTTGTCATTCTGGAAATCTTTTTTTTTTTTAAGAGTAATTTATTTATTTATTTGTGAGAGAGAGTGTGGGGAGGGGGCAAGGGGGCAGAGGGAAAGAGACAGAAAGTCTTAAGCAGAGTCTGCACTGAGAGCACAGAGCCTGATGTGAGGGAGAGCACGGAGCCTGATGTGAGGTCGATCTCATGACCCAGAGATCACGACCTGAGCCAAAACCAAGAGTCAGACGCTCAACCGACTGCACCACCCAGGTGCCCCTGGAAATCTTAATAGAGTACACAGTGTAGAAGGAAGGAGACTAATTTAAATATATTCATACCAAAACAGAAACAACCATCTTTCAACCTACAATGCTTTCATGTATATAATGCCTTGGGACATAATTCTGGAAGGCTTTTAGAATGAAGCTCCTAGGGACACCTGGGTGGCTCACTGGTTAAGCGTCCATCTTCGGTTTAGGTCGTGATCACAGGGTCTTGGGATCAAGCCCCACATCGGGCTCCCTGCTTAGCAGGGAGCTGCTTCTCCTTCTCCATCTGCCTTTATCCCCCCACTCATGCTCTCTCTCACTCTCTCTCTCTCAAATATATAAATAAAATCTTAAAAAAATAATATGAAGCTCCTAGAAATATTCCTACAAACCAGTGGTCTAAAGACTTGCATACAGAATAATCGCTACTGTTAGTGACTAATTCTAATATTTAGAAACTTTGACAGATAACAAAGGGGCATAATTTGAATTTAAGATGAATTCATTTGTTCATTCAACAAACATTTCAGTGTCTACTATATGTTTCAAAATATATGCAAAGGGCTGGGCACATAGTGATGAGCAAAGCTGACTGCGCCCCACCCTCATGGAGCTTCCAGGCCAGTGAGGGAGACCAACATCAACCACATGTTGACAAAAATAAACATGCGCCTAGTAATGGAGAGGAGTGCTCTGGGGGAAACAAGCTGCCGGGGTTGCAGGAGGGCTCCCGAGGTTTCCCCCAGGGCCAGACCATGCAGAGCTCACAGGTCCTAATCATCTATCTGGATTTGGAATATCACTACTGAGTTTTAAATCAGGGCAAAATATGGTCTGATGTTTGCTTCAAAAATTCTACCCTAATTGCTGAGTGGACAATGGATAGGAATACAGCATGAATGGAAACAATAAAACTGCTCAGGTAGCTACTGCATTGGTCCAAGCAAGAAGTGATGGTGTTTCTTTTCTTTTCTTTTTCTTTTTTTTTTTTTAGAGGAAAAGAGAAGTGGGGAGGGGCAGAGGGTGAGGGAGAGAGAGAATTTTAAGCAGGCTCCATGCCCAGTGCAGAACCTGATGTAGGGCTTGATCTCACAACCCTGAGACCATGACCCGAGCCAATATCAAGAGTCAGATGCTTAACCAGCTGAGCCAGCCAGGCGCCCCGGTGATGGTGATTCTAAAGAGGGTGCAGAGTGCTGGGGTGGGGGAAGTTGGTTGATTTAAGACATACTCTTTTGAGGGAGAAATGGTGGATCAGCTGTGGGGTGCAGGGGAGAAGGCAGACTCAGGAAGGACTCCCAGGTTTGCAGTATGGCTAACTGGATAGTGATGACACTTACAGGGATGGGGAAACAGCACTGGGAGTCAAGGATGTATTTATTTGTAGGAAACAGACTGAACTCAAAAGGTCTGCATACATGGGTGCGAACGGGCTTAATTAGGGCGAAGAAACAGGCATACCTGGAAACAGAGGAACATGGGTGAACTTACAGCAAATCGACCCATAGGGATAGTCATTTCAATATATAAGTAGTACAAACAACCTATCTTTTAATATGAAGGGGGGGAAGAGAGTTGATGGAAATGGCAATTCACTAATCTGCCGTGGCATCACAGGGACAGTCTAAAAGGAGGCAGCAATCTACAGAGGCAGAATTAGAAAAGGCTCAGCATTCTCATTCATTCATGGCCAGGCACTGCTCTAAGACTGTACATGCATTGTCTCATTTAATCATCCCAATAACCATAAATTTAGGTACTAGGATTGGAGACAACTGGTGTTTCCAAACTGGTGTAACCACAATGCTTTCTATATACCTCTCCCCCCTGTGATTCCAACACAAGCGGATAGATGTCTATTGAGAATAACAGCACAAGGAAAACAGGTCAATTATCACCATCATCACTGATAATAATTCATCCGAGAGGCATGACTGGTGCAACCAACATCTATTGCCCGTGAAATGAAAATGGAGGAAGTAGATTCCAAATCTGATGCCTTAAAATCTAGTTATCTGGGGATTTGAATGAAACCAACTTGGAAAAAAAAGAATGCCAATACTTCAGCATGACTCACTACACATATTATTTGCCTAAAATTAAGATATAAAAGTGATAAGGAAATCCTCAAGGTAACTAATCATAAAAAACCACTTTTCATTTCATGCTTTCTAACTTACCAGTGAAGAGAAGCAGCTGCTTGGGGGAAATTTTCATATCTAACAGGTTCGTTAGTGGGTCTATTATGATTTCCTAAAGAAGTCATTTTGATAATAAAATAAACACTGGTTGCAGCTCTTATATTCTGAGGGAAATTTCCATCTGATCATTTCCAGCCTTTTCCAGGCACTGACTTTTGCATCAATGTGTGTCACTAAGATATGATAGCTAAATTCAGTGCATCACCTAGTATGGGCTATTTATTGGCCACATATCTGAGGGGTCTTGGTCTGTGGAATGTTTAAGCCCTTAAATGTGCAGCTGAAATAGCCTCCTAAGTTGCCCATTGGACTTTAATGTTTGTTCCTTTGGAGAAACAACTCAACCTTCTTGAGAGAATACTTTTCCCCCAGCTTTGCACAACACTCCTGAACAATGTGGTGTAATCTCTGCTTGCTACTTAGAAACATCAAGGTCAGTATCCCAAATGCCTGGGCTTTGAGGCTTTTGTTTCTGTGAGGCCATTCACAGGGGATGTTTAATGTGAAGCTTTGTTCAGCTGCTGCCTTAACACTTTCCACTGACGAAGGTCTAAGAGCTTGAAATCCTCACATTTCAACTCATCTGATGGACACGACACTCAAGGCGTGGGCAGCCTGCTCGTAATCTCTACTGAGGGCTTCTCTCTCTCGAGTGGTAGCTCTAGTTATGGTGAACCTCAGGGTCCGCTGTGCTGCCCCTGGCATCAGGGATGCCCTGCATCAGTCCTTTCACTTATATGGAGGGGCGTAGTCTCTCAGACGTCAAGAAGCCAGCAAACCACCCAGTGCGTCTGCCTGGATAAGAAGGGCTGAGGACCTAGAAAGAATGAGACTCCTAGGTTGCCAAGGCAGCTTCGAATCTGGACATCCGTATGAAGATGGGAGAGTATCTGGTTAGGAACTAAGGAACTAAGAAGGAATAAGAAAGGGAGGGTGGAGGTCAGGGATGCACACAGAATCTGGCCAGATGGAAGCTTCTCGATGGGGCTGGGTGATGCTGGGGCTTAAAGGAAGCCACAGAGGGGCCAGGGTATAGACCAGGGCTGCCCAGGTATAGCAGATGCTCACTACATAGGGGTTAATGAATGGTCCAGGAGAACAGCTCTAGCAGAATGTCTGGCACTGTTCTGTATATCTAGGTGATTTCCAGCTCCAAGGGATCTAGAACACATGACACTCCATTTATGTG